ATGTCGTAAAATTAAAATGGAGAAATATAGGATTTTATAGATAATTTGAAACCTAATAAGCTAGCACATTTTCCCGTACGAAAGTTTTCTCGCGAATAGTTACTCATGCACTACAAAAATCCAAATCCACTGTTGCCTTTCCATCCCRATCCCCAGTTTAATCACAGGCAGGTAATCCAAATTATGATTAGCAGGAAAATTGTCACATGAGCTGCCAGATCCCGTCGAGCATTCTCAAAAACGTTAGTTTRACAAGGGCGGCCTCAGTTAGGGACTGTACATTAAATATGCCAAAGGGTGGTCTGGAGGAAAAGTCAAAAAAATCTTGGGAAAATGTGCAACCCCCCTTACTCTATCACAATATTTTTTGAGCCCCTCCTGACACTGAGAAAAAATACCTCCCCCCAAATATGTATAACTAACAATGGAAAATACCTAATCCTAAAACATTTTATAAGAGGAGTCACAAAAAGCAAGTGAATGCTTATGTAGCAAGACCTCTATAAAAAAGAAAATAAAGCTGTTTAAAATGATCATTGATAAGAAATGTATAAAAATAAACATATTGATATTATATTTATTTATTATACATACTTTAATTTTGTGTTTCAACCCCCCACCCCCCTTCAAGTCAGCAAATTAAAGCCCCTCCTTCATGATCTGTTTATTGTTCAAAACCCCCTACTTTTCCTCCAGCCGCCCCTAAGGCATAATTAATGAACGGTCCCTTAAAAAATATTTTTTTTATTCGAAAATTTTCAATATTATTTATATCTAATATAAAAGCCATTTAACCCCCCTCAAAAGCAATTAGTCCCCCCCTCTCCCTCTCCCCCTCTCCCCCTTAAGATTTCAGCTGGATCCGCCCTTGTTTTTAAAAGTGTCTAGGGACGAGGTTGTTGTTGCAGCCAGTATTTTTGTTATGTGACGTTAAGCTTAGTAAGCCAACATCCACAATGCACAAATCCTCAAAAATCTAGCTATATTATTACTGGACCTATGTAACGACAACGTGTTATCGTTTCATATAAGGTGGATGGCGTGACCTAACGGGTGGAAAAGGAAAATGGACTGGCAGTGACAACAAGTGGAACCTCCGTTTTCCGAACATGAACAATGGCATATGGCACTACGGGCCAACACGAATCTGGACAACACCTGTTAACTCAGACCACTACGGTAATTAATAGTGTACATTTGTGTTATATTCAATTTCGATGCCTATGCCGTATAGAAATGATTTCCCTGATGATACCGTTCTACCGTTTTAATTATAATAATCCATAGAGATAACAAGCAGAGTCACCATGACAGCGTTCCAAAGTGGCTGTGGACACGTCTTCAAGTATAAAACAGGAAGCCGTAGGACACGAAGGTAAGTATGGATCATAGAGTGTTAGTGTACAAACATTGAGAGGTGAGTTAGACTCGTATAAAACCCGTAAAACAATGACTGATCTCTACTTTTTAGGCCTACCCTTGGTGCTTAAGTCGCGTGTAGTTTAGGGAACTTTTTGAAGTCTTAAAAGACGATTTTAAAAGACGGACTTGAGAACATATCAAAAATATCAAAAAAGTATCAGTAATTATCACTATGAGAAGGGGGATTCATAGTCTAAACTTATGAATTGAAAGAGGGGGTGAGGAAGGGGGGGGGGGGGGGCAGCGTCCAAGTAATCAACGAAGTAGAGGGGTTTACATCTAGCTTTAGTAAAATCAACAAACCATTAACCCAGTAAGATGATTTTACAACTTGGTAATTTCGCGACAATTAAGACCTAATCATATCTAGGCCACAAAATGAGCTTTTGAAGTAACACAGAACTTCCCTTGCTTATATTTCATTGTCTTCTGCTCGTTCTGAAGCATGGTGACTAAAGCCTGGGGTTACTTTCTCTGGGACCGCAAGTATCTGTATATCGCGAGTAATGGTAAGGAAAGCTATCCAACGGTCAACTACAATTATCGATTAGGACGATGGTACAACCTGAAGTCTGTTGTCAATGGCACCCAGGTCAAGATTTACATTGACAACAAACTAGTCAAACAGGTTACTATGACTGGCGCAGGCGCAGCTTCAAAAACCAACAACTATGTGGGCCTTTGGTGTCATGTCAACACTGCTTGCAAAGGAGAGAACTTTAAAGTTAAAAATTGTGAGTTTTTTTTACAATATTTTTTGCTTACTTTTATATCTGATGAACTAAATGGGATCAAACTAATTAAAGTCAGTAATTACAGAGGGCGGGTAATCTTCGAGTTACGCGCTCTACCACGCCCAAAATTGCCTTGCGGTCACGACCAACGCATAACTCGATGGAACTAAGGGACTGTGCAATAATTACCAGGAGGGGGCGTAAAACCAGAGGGTGGGCATTACATAAAATTGAGGGCAATATAGGGAGGGCTCAAAGTAAAATTACCTAATTAACAGAGGGGGGGACTTAAGTTTCATTCAAAATTTTAATAATTTTCGATGTTTCGCAAAACGCTGGAAATCGCATTTCCAAGAGTTATTTATTTCAAAATTTTTGGCGATCGTCAGGCCCCCAGATCCGAAATATGTGTCGCGGTCCATGACATGTGCATAAAAAGTACACGCTTCGCGCCTGACTAATGGAAATCTAAATTCACAGACTCGTTGATGTGGGAGTGAAATTAACGAAGATATGATTTTGTTTTTCAACTATAGTGAATTTTTTCAATTTTGTAAAATAATTTGAGGATGCAGTTGTCACATAAATTGAAGATGTAGAAGCTGAAAACATATTGATGATTTATTAGACATTATTTCATACTTGATTCAGTTTTCTTTGTTATTCATAGTGTTATATCTAGCTTATTCCACAGCTCATTGTGTATTCAAGTGCTTTATATCGAAGTTTCAGGGCAATATATAGATATTGCCCTTGAATGCTAATGTACTTATTGCCCTTGAATACCTAATTAACTACTACGTTCAACTTAGAAATTTTCCGTCTGAAACTTTAAACTTGAAAGAAAGAAAGAAAAATTTAAATGACACTAAGGAGATTCGAACCCACAACCTTAGCTTTGAAAATCCTATACTTAACACGTTATGCTAACTGACTAATCGATGTCAGTTTTGGAATAAAACAGTTATTTGTTACAAAAGGTATATTGTTAGCATTGGTCTCATGGAACTAACGAGAAAAATGCTTATGCAAATTATTACCGTTGGGAATTGTCAATACAGTAAATTTCGTAACCTTTCTAATCGAGGTTTTGGTTTTTAATTCATTGAAAACGGCTTCTTTGCCTATTTAAAAATGAAAATATTAATGCAGTGCTTGGAAAACTTCTTCAAGTATGAAATAAGCCTACGGCCCCTCGTGCTTTATATGGCTTATCAAGGGCGGATCCAGCTGAAATTTTAAGGGGGGGCTAAATGGTTTTAGGGGTCTAATAAATGGGCTTTATTACTCGGGGTTCCTGTGGAACCCAGAGTTTAAATTTCGGGCTTCTTATTTATTTATTTATTTTTTTTTCGTCGCTTATCAGTCACAAATTGTCCACAGGTAGCCCAAGCTCATAATCACGTGTTATTCTAAAAATGCTATTTAGAGACCAAATTAGCGAAATATTATTATTGTCCTCGATAGAACATCTAAATGAAAGTATTATTGAGAAATTTTGAGCCAAAATAATGCTTTTTAACAGAAATACGACCAAACGAAAATTGGTAAGAATGTATGGGATTTATATCACGGCTCAATGCGTTTTAGACAGGTCAAGAAATAACTACAAAAGGCTGTGTTTTAAGATCTAAATGAATTTTTCATGTTCATGGCCAAAAACAGCATATAATTCCCAACAATTATGCAAAGTTTGAAGTCAAACTGCGATTTTTTAGCAAAAATATAAGCGTTTGAATATGGTCTTACTTTACAAGGGAATGTATGGGAAAGCCCTGATGGTGTACTATCCAGTACACAACCACGCGGACAGTAACTCCGAGTGTCGAAATAAGCTCAAAAGTAATGATTTTGCTTCAGTTTTCTAACAATATCATTCTAAAAATTTAATTTAATGCTGAGACTATAGTTGTTTTAAGATTTATAGGCTTTCCGAGGTTAATTTGGCGTGTTTCAAGTAGCTTGACAGTATTGCGTGACATATTTTTGAACGTTAATAACTCAACGAATAAACAGCAAAAATAGTTGAAACTTTCAGAGAGAACTTCTATTATGTTCTTCAAGGTAGTACTTTAATGTTGTGTGTCTGTGATTTTAGAATTTTTTTCGACTGATGACTTCATGTGCAAACCGACGAGAATAGTCGGCGAGACTGTAATACGCGAGGTGGAAGAAGACAGAAATTCAACGTCTACAAATAAGCTCAAATCACTTAAAAATATCCACACTTTCGTGGCATAGCCACACTAAAATATGACCAGCGTTTTTCCGAAAAATGAATTTCAGAAGATAACGTAAATTTATCGAGAATTTATCTTATTGTCTATCGAGATCGAGTCTATCGAGAATTGTCTATCAAACAAGCTACCTATCTTAGCACAAGCGAACTGTATACGAACTTATGCAGGCTCTGAAACTACTAAGGTCTCGTCTAAGGAATGCGAACAGATTCTTCTGAGGAAAAGCCGACGAATGGAAGAGCGGAGAAGATAAAAGACTCTGTGTTTACAGCCTGTCATGTGACTATCAAAGACCGGCTTGCTGATGATCAATTTTTTCATGATATTTATGCTGAGTACACTGTTTTTTTATTTTTATTCCAGGAAGTATTTTTTGCTTTACGCCTTTTGATAGTATGACTATTAACTTTATTAAGGTTCAATATAGTCCAATTCTTCTCAATTCTTCGACTACAACACTCATTGTNAAGTAGCTTGACAGTATTGCGTGACATATTTTTCAACGTTAATAACTCAACGAATAAACAGCAAAAATAGTTGAAACTTTCAGAGAGAACTTCTATTATGTTCTTCAAGGTAGTACTTTAATGTTGTGTGTCTGTGATTTTAGAATTTTTTTCGACTGATGACTTCATGTGCAAACCGACGAGAATAGTCGGCGAGACTGTAATACGCGAGGTGGAAGAAGACAGAAATTCAACGTCTACAAATAAGCTCAAATCACTTAAAAATATCCACACTTTCGTGGCATAGCCACACTAAAATATGACCAGCGTTTTTCCGAAAAATGAATTTCAGAAGATAACGTAAATTTATCGAGAATTTATCTTACTGTCTATCGAGATCGAGTCTATCGAGAATTGTCTATCAAACAAGCACCTATCTTAGCACAAGCGAACTGTATACGAACTTATGCAGGCTCTGAAACTACTAAGGTCTCGTCTAAGGAATGCGAACAGATTCTTCTGAGGAAAAGCCGACGAATGGAAGAGCGGAGAAGATAAAAGACTCTGTGTTTACAGCCTGTCATGTGACTATCAAAGACCGGCTTGCTGATGATCAATTTTTTCATGATATTTATGCTGAGTACACTGTTTTTTTATTTTTATTCCAGGAAGTATTTTTTGCTTTACGCCTTTTGATAGTATGACTATTAACTTTATTAAGGTTCAATATAGTCCAATTCTTCTCAATTCTTCGACTACAACACTCATTGTTGTCACTTCATCGTTTTATGATATATTCAAGCAGAACCCCGAGTTCACGCAGCTATGCGTCTAGTTTGTTATAAACAACATTGAAAATAATAAAAATCAATTTACTTTTTCTGCTCAGAGGGGGGCTACAGCCCCCATTTGCCCCTCCCTGGATCCGCCCTTGCTTATTGCCTCCGTTCTCGGTATTTATCTCTTACTAACAAGCACAAGTAATATCAAAGTCCTTTTTGACCATTAAAACGTTACATAAGCCTTTTTTGGACAATGAAAACCTTTTCCAGGAATAAAAATATTTGAAAGAACCAATGGCTCCACATTTGCTTGTGAGATTTTCAACAATGTAGCCAATGTAAAAACTCTTTAGTAATTTACCCAGGAACAAATTCATACAAGAACAGTTATTTAGCAGAACACAGACCCAGTCAGCTCCTCACCTGAAAAGTTTTTGCCTTTACACTTAGATCCAGATGAGCAAGCTACCTCTTGCATCTCTTAACCCATTTAATTTTAAAATATCTTTGAGATTTCTTTCAATTCCAAGTATTACTCAGATTAGAAAGTGGGAATTACCTGACGTTTACTGTTATCATCCATGATGATAATAACCCCCGTCTTGATCAATCTCTTCCTTGTAAATCATAAAACACTATTGTTGTGTGACTTTGAAATAGAGTGATACTGTTTATTTATAAATTAAAGAATATATGTACATAGATTGCATTGGCATCGAGCTATGTTTATATTGATTTTGATTTAAAAGCGCGTAGCTCGAAGACACTAATGTATGTTAGTTGTATCGACCCTAGACACTAGACCTTAGACCCTAACAAATTAGAACTCCCAGACCTTAACATGCTTGAGATTTGCGGATATCCTGCATCGCACGATTATACTGATAGCTTTCGACTTCTACGCAACGGAGGAATTTTGCGCTCAGCGGAAGTATGTAATCTTGTAGGTTGTCATGACAGCTATCATTAACATAGAGATCATATCATTGTATTTTTCAGTGCGGGCAGTACGCAATAGGAATCTCAATAACCAGCTCAAGTGCTTCAGCAATCACATGCAGATAAAAATACCCAAAACATCGCTGCCTTTTGCACTCGCTAAGGACTTGCGACTGAACAAACCGTCATGTCGCGCTACTGAAGATAACAAGAACTTCTACCTCAAGACAGGCTTTGATCAGTGTGGAACCAAGATCAGCAAAACCACCAAAACAATCACCTATAGCAACCATGTACTTGGACGACCGCTGAAAAATAGTGCAGTCATCAGCCGCATTCATGACATCAACATAACGATATCGTGTTCGTATCCACGTCAACGAGAGATGACGTCATCGCATATACAGCCCGATAAAACCAAATACGTCAGCGCATTCCATTCCAAGGGCAAGTTCAACTTCACTTTGAATCTGTTTCCCAGCAGCCAGTTCAAAAAGCCATACAAGAAGTTTCCTATTGAGTTGCATTTGCGTCAAGTGATTTATGTCGAGGTGGCTGTGAAGTCTGCGAGGAAAGAGCTGTCAGTATTGGCTCAGCAATGCTATGCTACCCCCTCTAAGAAGAATGGTCGCGGTGCACTCAAACATTGGTTGATCAAAAATGGGTGAGTACCGTATCTGACCTTATTATTCTTATTATATTACCTATTGGCAGAAAGAACATTTTACGGTAGGGCACATAGGTTAGCAGAACTTGTTTGTCATTAAACTAACGTGGGTCCCCATAGACACTGATGCGCTTAATCAAGCTTCAACCAGACCAACATTTACCGCAAGAACCATTCATACTTCGTAAACTGATCAAATAGAACAGTTATTGTTATAACATATCTCGTGTCTACGACCCTATAGGATTTCTCTCTAGCATTGGCGACAAATGCTAAACTTCCAAAAACTGCATCTTTATTAACTTAAGTGAAGTGTAGACAATAGGGACCGGAAGGCAGGTTTTGAAATTTTCCTCCTCAAGCTTTCCTTCAAAGAACACTTTTGCCTTAATTCATAGAAGGTATACGTGCATCCTGTGATATCCCATAGTTAAAGAATCCAACCACAATACAGCGCGCGCGCTCGTGTTATTGTTTACATACGTTTAAATGAGTCAAGCATACTTAACAAATTGCGCACGGTTTTGAGTTGTATGTCCTTATATTGACAGACTCTTGACGTCACAAAATGTTCAAAAGTCAAGTTGATCCACGAGCGCAGCGAGTGGGTTCACTGTAAAGTTTTGAACATTTTATGACGTCAAGAATTTGTCATTAAGAGGACATACAACGTAAAACCGTGTGCAATTTGTTTTTACCACATTTTTAATCTAAAAATTTGCGAAAATGATTCTCTTCTTTCAAATGAGCGCGAGACGTGATGGTGTCAGCACAGTGTGAATGTCCTTTTTTATTGAAACACTCTAATCAGCCAATCAGCGCGCGAGAATTTACACAAGTGTGGTAAAAGATAGATTGATAGTACCTGTGAGGTACTTAGTTAAATGTATTTCTGCCCAATCTGAAAGGATGGAAGACGATTTGCGCTCACTTTGAGAAATCCTACTTATCCGCCATTTTCGTGTCCACCTCAACTGACGCTTCGGCTCGCAAGGTACGGCKGTTGGTTGTGATTCTTTAAGGCCCTGGATTACTGCAATATTTCAATCAAAAAAGTACTAGTCAATATATTCTTTGTACTAAAAATWGTTTTGATCGCTCATTGTAGTTGCGCCATGGATTCAACGCTGAAGTACCTCAGGTCACCCACTAAAAATTTGCAGAGGTTTAGTGTCCAGGGTTTTCATTTTCTCGGTAAACACCGCCATGTCTATTTTCACTGTAACGTGATTGCCTGTAACGGAAATGACGCCAAAAGTGTGTGCTCACGTGGTTGCAACAAGAAAAAGATCGGCAAGCGTAATGCGGAGGGCAGTGATGCAGCAGTTATGCTTTCCCGAGGACCACTCGCTACCAGAGAMAACAAGATAGCAGAGGTGCTTGGTCACGAGATTCAACCCCATTCACAAGGTAACAGGCTTTATGACATGTCGTTTTCATTATCTATCATTCCATACACATTCCATACACCTATTTCAATGAAGGTTGGAGGACGACCCGTGCAGGGGGTGGGGGGGAGTACTCCCTCCCCAACTTGGGTGGGGGTGTGCAGCAGCGCGCCCCTCAAAACCCTTACCCTATCCAWTTTTTGTGATTTCACATAGCCTACTCCAAAATAAGGGTACTATACTAAAAAGGTACATTTATTTTTAGCGCTAAAAGCGTGGCCTATCAGATACGATCACAGGCAAAACTCCACACTACCCTAGAAAATGAGACTATGCCTTAACCTAGAAAAAAAACTACCCTATCCCAGATCCCAAAACCACAAAACTACTCCCCCCGGTTAGGACGAATGGCGATTATTGATTGGATATTACACGACAGGACTGCACGACCCAGTGSATTTTGTTTGTCATCAATTTCTTACTTCACAGCCTTGAAACTTCCTTACGCACGCTTCTCAGGTTTTGGGACGTTAAGAAGACATAATCAACATGATATAATGACGTGCAGTTTTTATTTTTTATTCAGATACTATGTTCAC